AGCTCCACGACCACGACCAACGGCTCCACCACGCTTCCTGGGAGCCCGAGCTTTGCGGAGTTTACCCTTGTATTCTCTGCCCCATTTCGTAGCATAGTAATGATTGATACAATCCTTGTAGGTACGTTCGGTTCCAACTTCTTTGTAAAGAACTTCGGCCAGTTTACCCCACTTCTTTGCGTATTGATCCTTGTAGTTATGTACCATGACCCTGTGTTCCTCGGGGGTGAAGTCATCCTCTGGCGGCTCATAGTGAAACACAAAGATTCCTTGACCGGGTTCGCGTTGGAAGTTAGTGTCGATGAATCTTCTGCGCTGAGCCTCTGCCTCGGTAAGTTCCAATGGTAGATCGGCCTCCTTCTCCGGATCAGCCATGGCTTTGCGTGGCTCTTTGTCTTTCTTCCCTAGCTTTTCCTCTTCGGCAGTCTTCAAAGACTCTTTGATGACAGCTTCCAAATCAAGCTCAGTAGCCCATCGACTCGCATGGCTCCTCCGGCCTGTAGGAGCAAGCGACCCATCCAGAATCCCTGTCATCGCAGCATTTTGTACATCGGGAGTGACAGCCTTCAGTGTTGGTTCGGCTGACGGCTGTCTATCCTGATCGTCATGATCGCGCTCTTCGTCCAAGGGACGGATAGACACACGCCACGCTCTATACGCAGCTGCGTATCGTTCGAGAATCTGATCAGTGTTAAGCTCAGGCTCGATGCTCTTGCGTAGTTTGCTTCGAATGGCGTTCATGATATCGTCAGATAGGTTTGGTCGGTCTTGCCCAATGTCCGATAGAGGCGTTGGCGGGCCTGAGCCTAGATAGGGCAACAAACTGAGGTCGGGTAAGGTTTCCTGCTCTGCAGAGGTCTCACGTCGTAGACGAAGCGCCATCGTTGCGGGTGCAGCCGACCTCTCTTCAGTCTCCTCTTTGTCTTCCATCTCGACATCCTCGGACTCTTCCGCCTTAGGTGTCGGTAAATCTGCCGTGATACTCTCTGGAGCGGGTTGAGTAGTGGTTGGTTCCAGAGGACGTGCTTGCACAGGTGAAAGATGTGACTCTTCCTGCTCCTGGGGAAAGGGTGTGCTTGTCTCTTCGACGGACACCACATCTGGCTGTGTCTGAGGAAGATGCTCGACATTGAGGCATGACAGCAGAACAATCTCCTGCAAGGGAGTTGTAGCGCGCAAATGCGGAGCACTCAGATCGACCCGTTTGGCCTCTAGACGTGCTCGCTCTCGGTTGTATTTCGCCTCAGACTCAGCGAAGTCATCCTCGTCAAGATCAAGATCGTCGTCAGAGTCTTGCAGAGCTTCCGGGGCGGACGACGCAGCCGACATGGGAGGCTTGGCCATTCGAGGTGACGCTTCTGCCATGACGACATCAGAGTGTCGCCTAGTCTCGATCGGAGTAGGTTTAGGTGGGGGAACTAAAGGACGCTCTGCGGATACCGCACGTTCTCTCGGTCTTTCGATGTCGGTTTGAATGCGTGAAAATGATGGCGATACTGATTTTGCTTGCGAATTACGCTGAATCTGTGCAGCAGAGACGCTATGCTCGAGTCGAGGGGCTTTAGGGGCCGTACCGAACTGTCGTTCACGATCCTCAGCTGGAAATTCGCGTTTGGTTGGCACCGACGGTCGGCTCGAATTAAATCCAGGCCGTACCCATTGCATGCTCTTAGGACCGCCGCTCAATGGGCCTCTAGCGGGAGGAAAGCCAGGCCTGTCCGATTGCGGATAGGATGAAAGTGGCCTAGGAGCCATCGGAGTGCGGTCAGCTTTGGGGCCCGTAGGTATATTCGCTGGTAAGCTTTGCGGGGATGTGTTGATCGTAGAGCCTCCTCCGCCACCATTACGCGGACCAAACCCTGAAGGATTCGCACTGGGAGACGCATCTCGAGGAGTGTACTGTGGTAGAGTTGCCCTTGAGAACGATGGAGATACGTTGACTCGTGCCGCTTGAGGAGCTGTAGGTGGTGCACGCGGTCGTGCAGCAGGGCCTTGTGGAGGCGACTTTGCAACACCCGATGGCGCAGTAGGAGCGGTCAGTGGAGCTGATGGTGCCATGGTGGGAACTTTAGGGGGCGCAGCCATCTGGGGCGAGATCGGGACCTTGGCAGTCACATTGTCTGAGACTGGTACATCAGTGGCCTGAGATGGAGCAACGGTAGGAGGAATAGAAGGTGGTTCCATACGTGTTGGAGCCGGATGGGACACTCTGCTCTCTTGCTTTGGTACCTCTCCAAGCAGCGGACGATCCGGCGCCCGATCAGCTTTTGGCCCAGTGGGTGGTAGTGTCGAGAGGCCTGGGGGAATGGTTGCCTTTGGTGCAGTCGGGATTACTGCCGCCTTCACAGGAGTAACAGGAGCAGCAGGTGTAGCAGGACCGACAGAGGTGTTAGTAGTAGAAGCAGGAGTAGGCTGAGCAGGCTTCGGTGGTGCTACTGTCGCAGCGCTTGGCTTGTTGTCAGAGATGGGCGCCCTCCAAACATTGGACCCACCGAAGGCTGGAATGGAAGCAGGAGGCGATGAAGCACGCGGAGCGTACCTCTCCCTGGACGCTTCAGCGCGGCTCGCCAGGAGAGCCTCGTCTTTCCCTGGCTCCCGCCGAGGATCCTTGGCAGAGAGAGGATCGATAGCAACAGAAGATCGTCTTGAGTAAGTATCTCCCTGAGGCCCTAGCCTGTCGGACGGAGAGGCATGGTGAGCTGAATGCGGGGTTGGTCCCGTAGGCGTACCAGGTAGATGCCTCAGATCAGAAGGGCCCGGGCCTCGGTGTGTGTCCAACGCCCGTAGTCCTGGTTTCGCAGCACCTGCTGGGCCGATGTAGGAGTCGTACTCTCTGGGGAACCTTCGATCGTCACGTTCTCTCCTATCGAAATCGCGGTCTTCCCGAATGTCTCGCTCCTGGCGCCTTGGGGGTGTCCGACTCCGCGGCCGATATGTCCGTTCCGGAATGCGATCACGTGAGTCGTGGTGTCTTTCCCGGTCGTCGTTGTGGAAATTTCGACCGCGCCCAGAAAATCCGCCTCGTCCTCGGCCAATGCCTCCGCCACGATACGATGAAGCTGTACCGGGGAGTGGGGGGTCAGAGTAGGTGGAACCAGCGGAAGGGGGGCCGTCTCGTGAGTTTCGTCGTGCGCGATTGACATCCAAATCTCGCGGTACAAAGTCCCTCTGATCGCGCGGATCTCTTGAGTCCCGGATAGGTGAGCGCCTTGGTGGGGTCGGCCGTCGCTCGCGCCGATCAAAGTCGCGGTCTCGGTCACGATCTGCCCTCCAGGAATTTTGGGAGTTGTGCGGAAACCCAGGACCGCTGCTTAATGGTGGCGCAGTACGTAGTGGTGTAGCTTCACCTCGGCCAGCAAATCCTCGGCTTCTATCATCGCGTGGCGCTGCAGATGCACTTGATGGTGGACCCACTGGCGGGCCACGTGGCGCATCGGAAAGAGATTTTGGACCTTTCGGAACTTCTCTTGAGAAGCCGCCAGGCTCTGCATTTGGTCTAAAGGTTTCGTTACCCCTTGGAGGGTAACCGCTACTAAAGTTGGATGGTCTTCGATCTCGATCCCGGTAGGGCGGCGATCTGTCGCGGGGATATCTGCCGTTTTCCGGATACCGTGAAGCAGACATGTTGGTGGTTGCTTACTGTACAAAGAACTTGCGACTGCGGCATGGGCACAGGTAAAGGTCGTATGTCAAAGCGGATTGGAAATCTCGGTCGTAAGAGCAGGCCCGGATCGCGTGCAGTGGTCGTAGCAAACGGATGGTGCAGAAAAGAAAAAGGGTTCCTTTGATGTACCGTCGTGTGTAATCTCAAGAGTGATCGCGCGATTGGCCGGCGAATTGTTGTGTCCCAGGTTGACGTCAACCACAGGGTGTCAGTCGAGGTTCGTGTTTGCAAGCCGTGGTAGACGAGGCGCTAGCGGCAAGGCCCGTGCTTCGAAACCAGGGAATTAGGGAAAGCGCCAAACCCCGATCCGTGGTGGAACAGGTGCAGCTGCTCGGCGCCGGGAGCTGAGATTCGATCTGCTATTGTCGCCTTTACGCCCAAAACGCCCGTTTCGTGCCGTAAACGCGTCAAACTGGCCCTGGAGGTCAGGCAAAGTCGTCTGGAGATACTGGAGAGTGTGAGAAGCGCGCAGCGGTCAACAAAGGCAGTCTGGCGCCGTGTTGAAGATGCTCTGCAGCCCGTTGACGTGGCGCTGGGTCTCTTTGTGAGGGAGGCCTGGGCACGTGAGGCAGCACCTTGTCGATGCTGGGAACGAAGAATGGAGTGGCTCTTTAGCCAGGCTGTGCGCCGCTGGGCCGTGGCAGCATAGTGTCGTGGAGAGGGTCGTTGTCGCAAGGTAGGTGTGATGATGAGAAAGGGAACGTCGAGGAGACCAGAACACGAACGAAGCACTGACACACCCAGCCATGACGGATGCCTGCAAGTCAAAATGGACGCCCCGGCTGGCCTGCAACGGCCTAGCGAGGGGAATCCATCCAGACATGACAGCCGGCCTCTGATTGGTCCGCAGTTGGACATTTCGATTATCTGCAGGGGTGGGCAGCCGCTGGTTTTGCTTCAGATTCCAGCCCTGGCTCCACTAGGGGATTTGGTGACGATCCCAGCCCGGGCCCCTTCACCAACACGGACAGACACCGCTGCACGGCAGATGCTGGACACGATGCACGCCTGGAGGACTGGCGGGAGTATTGTGCGATGATGCGACACCGTGGCCCTCCCACACGTTGATGGCAAAAGGGCTGGCAGTCTCCTTAGCTGGATCGACCCGAGAACTAGCCTCACACGAGCAGGGATTAGACTGCCATGCCTTAGCTCCAATCCACGGGTGCCCAGGTGTGGGGGCTTCTTTTTCCTCAAAATCTGCCGCCGCACCGACTCACAAATAGCACAGTACGAGAGTTGCAACCGTCCAGAGTACGCCGAGTAGCCCGACGACGCGCCAGAACATCGCGACAGCGCCGCTGCAGCGACTGCCCAACCGAGAGTGCCCACTGCCATGGCTAGCAACTCTTCGGCCCCTACCGGCGCCACTGATGCAGTCTTGAAGCCATCCGAGCCCGTGCCTGAGGGTGCGCAAGAGGTGCAGGGCATCGACTTCAACCAGTATGCGTCGCGCAGCATCACCGTCGAGGAGCTGGTGGGCGGCTATGCCAACATGGGCTTCCAGGCGACTTCGGTGGGAGAGGCTGTACGCATCATCAACGATATGGTGAGTTGCTTCTGCCCGGAATATCCGAATGCGCGTGCTGCGCCGCTGCGGCGTGTCAGCGTCAAGTGCGGAGACAGCACTTGCGTATGCCGGGAATCTCCCGTCCGTGCGCAGTCCCGAAAGGCGAAACATTTAGCCTGATTTGGCGACGCGACACCACCACCGCATCGAGAAGCTTGGGTTCGCTGCTAACAGATGACAGCGCGCATGGAGAGACCCTGAGACCAAGGAGCCCACGACGATATTCCTTGGGTACACGTCAAACCTGATATCCTCGGGTCTGCGCGAGACGCTGCGGTACCTGGTCCAGCACAAACACGTTTCTGCCATTGTGACGACGGCAGGCGGCGTCGAAGAGGACTTCATCAAATGCCTCGCGCCGACATACCTCGGCGCTTTCTCCACTCCCGGCGCTGGACTGCGCCAAAAGGGCATGAACCGCATCGGCAATCTCGTCGTGCCTAACAGCAACTACTGCGCGTTCGAGGACTGGGTCGTGCCAATCCTGGACAAGATGCTGGAGGAGCAGGAAGCGAGCAAGAAAACGGACGAGCCATTGTACTGGACGCCTAGCAAGGTCATCCACCGTCTAGGTAAGGAGATCAATGACGAGCGATCGGTCTACTACTGGGCGTGGAAGAACGACATCCCCGTCTTCTGCCCAGCGCTGACAGACGGAAGCCTGGGCGACATGCTGTACTTCCACACATTCAAGTCATCACCAGAGCAGCTGCGCGTCGATATTGTAGAGGACATTAGAAGGATAAACACAATCGCCGTGAGAGCGAAGAGGACGGGCATGATTGTCCTGGGCGGAGGACTGGTGAAGCATCACATCGCCAATGCGAACCTGATGCGCAACGGAGCCGACAGCGCGGTGTACATCAACACTGCGCAGGAATTTGACGGGAGTGATGCAGGCGCACGGCCAGACGAGGCTGTCAGCTGGGGAAAGATTAAGCTAGACGGAGATAGCGTGAAGGTGTACGCAGAGGCGACGGTGGTGTTTCCGCTCATTGTTGCGGCCACTTTCGCACGGGTCCAAAGGTCGCAAGGGCAATAACAACAGGCGCTATACGCCATGCAGCACTCCAATAGCTCGTGCAATAAAGACCATGTTGTTGATTGACCGGAATAAGTGGGCTGGCATGTAAGGACGACTGCTGTATGGAGCAACGTTGTTGGTGCGGAGAGCGGACGCAGGGAAGGCGCGGACGGGCCCACCTTCCCCACTAGTCTCAAAGCTCTAGCGTGACTGCCTAGCCGGTCACTGTGGAGGTTAATCGATAAGGGAGCTGAGAGCTCTGTGATGACGACGAATGCGCCTTGTCCGCGCAGCCTTGTGCGATGAGTCAACCTCTGGAGCGCGTCGTCGGAGAGGCTGTAAAGGGCGCAGAGCCTCCAGGTTGAAGGCGCTGACGCCAAAGCTCCTTCGATTCGGGATAGCGCAGCGCGTGGGCCAGCCGATTCCCAGGTAGCTTTACCGCCTCACTCTGTACCTCTGTTGGCAATCGTGCCGCATGCTGGTAGGCTGCAGCCTTGTCAAGCTCCAGCCACGCCCAGGTTATCTTTCCTTCTTCTCCAACTCCAATTTCTACAGTCTCGAGCCATATCTCCAGAAGCACACGTCGGTTGCTCATCGTATCCATACACCCTCGTCGACGCGATAACGCTACTAGCCTGCTGCACTCACCGATAAAAGCAACACACCACTGTCGTGCAGCCTCGTGCATATCTCCTCTCACTCATCTCTCCATTTGTACTTTTACCCAGCTTTACCTGCACTCCCGCCCGTCAAACGCCCGCTCTCCACTTTCACATGCGCCTCTACCGCTGCAGCAAACATGAGCGTCAGCGTAGAGCCACCACTGCACTTTAGCCAGCAGCTCTCCAGCCCGCCACACTCACCAAACCCCGTACTCCATGCGCAGACGCCAGCTTCTCCTCCACCACCGCCGCCACCGCCTGCAGCCGAATCGAACATGAGCACCTCCACTTCCGCCAACACAATGCCTTCTACAGGCCAAAACCACGATCGGGGCGATGCAGATATGCAAGATGGAGATGAGCCCACCCATCGCGATGCTTCTACGAACACCATCGCTGTCGATATCTCGGCTATAGATGAGGACGCTATGGACGTTACACCGGATGCCGAGACGGAGCCGTTACCACAGAACAGCCCGGCTGAAGCACAAGAAGCTACTATTACTTCACCCACATCGCCTGCGCCAGAGCAAACGGTATGGCAATATCTTCTACTGGCTTGTATTTGCACCAGTGCTAACCTACCTCAGACAGCGACTATCATTCCCATAGAGCCTCCTCCACCCGTAGACCTCGACGCACTACCTCCCCCTGTTGATCCAAGCACACAGCCCCCGCCTCCGCCGCCACCAGTCGACCCCCCTCGCTCTGATTCAGGATCCGACGACGACGACGACGATGGCCTCCCGCCGTGGCACGCTCTTCCAGAAGACTTGTCATCGCCTGACGAGGACGAAGTGAAGATGATCGAGGAGAGGGGTGAACACAGTGCTCTAGATCACGAATACTGGGAGAGCGAGGCGTTTAAACCTTTAGATCACCCGGAGTATACCGCTGGTGAAGCAGGACGTATCCACTGGGCAATCGATGCGTATAATGGAACCCAGGAAAAGCCGAACCATGAAGTGCTTATGAAGTCTGATGTCGTCACGATTGGGGGCCACCAATGGCAGATCAAGTTTTATCCTAAGGGGAACGATTCAGATTATCTAAGCGTCTATCTCGAATGCTTGAGCGTTCAGGACTCGAAGGACGACAACAATGAGGACGCGCGCAAAGACATGCCTGGCGAAGAGGCTTCTGAGCCAAGTGGAGAGAAGAAGGCAGACGAAGGTATGGTAATGTCCGAACATGCGCCAGCAGACGACCCGACAGGCGTATCGCTTCAGCATGAGCCGTCTACGCAAGAGCGCAGTGAAAGCACGAAGTCGGAAGACGTCCAGGCACCAACCGCATCAGTCGTCTCTCAACACTCGCCTCTTCCGCTTCTTGGATCGAAACAAATGCCCAAGCGGAATAGCGTTGCCGCGCAGATATCGGTCGTTCTCTACAACCCAACAGAGCCTCGCGTGAACTACTCGCGGAATGCTTTACATCGCTTTTGCAATGGATCTCCTGATTGGGGCTGGACTCGTTTTCACGGACCGCACTACGATATATCTCGCCGTCAGCATGGTCAGCGCATGGCGCTTCTTCGTGACGACAATCTTGCGTTCACTGCCTACATTCGGGTCGTGGAAGACCAGACGGATTGTTTATGGGAGCATCCCATTCGTGAGAATCCGTGGGACAGCTTCGCAATGACGGGCCTGCAAGCTCTTATGCTTTCACCTGGTGGGAACATGATGTCTGCAATTGCCTCGTGGATGCTGTTCAAGCCCTTTCGAAACTTGTTGTACAGTATCGTCGTTGCGGACCCTCGCAATGAGCCTTTCACTCGGCCGAAGCCACTCATTAGCGCTTTGCAGCAAGTCCTATACTCGCTTCGCACTCAAGTCGAGCCTGGAGCTGGTTCAGTTGCTCTTGATGGCATTCTGGATGCACTAGAGTGGTACCGCATACACGATGGCCTCCACAAGTTGGATGTGATAGAGACTTGGGAAGTCTTGCGCCTAAAGCTCGAAGAAGAACTTCAAGGGACACCTCAGGCCGCCCAGCTAAATGCTATATGTGGACCAAAGCGCGACTATTCCCTCGGTAGACCCAGCTACCGCGTACCTGTGGAAGGTGTGGAGAGTATGCAGCGCGCTGTCAACGAATCGGCTGATTTCACTACACCTGGACAGCCTCTTCCAGAGTTGTTGACAATCGAGCTGGACCGGCACAAATTCGACAGCGCGAAGACTCGTTCACACATCAAGGTGCTGAACAAAGTCACCCTTGACGACCGGATATCAGTTGGTGACACTCCCTACACACTGTATGGGTTTGTTGTGCATAAGCAAACACTTCAGTCCTATATATACCAGCCTATTCTTCGACCCGAAGGCCCTGGTTCACGATGGTATATCTACAGTGATAGCAAAGACGAGAGCCAAGTCAAATGTCTTCCCAAGCGCGAGGCAGTCGATGCACACGAAGGCAAACCGAGTAGTACTCAGGTTACTGGCAACGACGCCGTGGCGTACATTGCCATGTATGTGCGAGACGATGTAGCTCAATCGGTATTCGTATCAGACGCCAAATCCGAGCAGTGGGATGTCCCGGAGTGGCTCAAGCTGGAAGTAGAGGCCAAGAAGAACCAATCTTCTCTTCCTCGAATGCCATCATTACCAACGCACGAGCCGAACTCTGCGACAGATGAAGAGAAGGCAGAGAAGGTCACAGCGCAGCCACCCAAGACACTCGATTTTCGCGTCGTTGATTCACGAGTATACCTAGGGCACGAAGGTCCAGGTATATTTGACTTCTTTGATGCGAAGTGGGAAGGTTCAGAGCTCATTCACAAGTTGACGCTATCAAGCAATGACGGATGCAAAGAAATTCGCCAAAAGTTGTCCGGCCTTTTGAAGAACGTCAAGGACCCACGACAGATAAAGTTTTGGTTTCTAGATCCCACGCAAGGATCTCTGGACCGACCAAACCTCCTCGGTACCGGACTCATTGAGTTTTCAGCCGGTAGCTACAGCCCGCACATAGATGCCAAAGAGTGGACTCTGGAGTCGCCAGATTACCGGAGCATCTGGGTACACGTCATCGACTTCGAGAAGCTGCCTGAGCTCCCCAAAGAGGAGAAAGAGGCTCCACAGGCTCCATCGCTCCAGGCGGGTGAAGTTGCGGCAGATATCATCCAAGTCGTCGAGACTATAATCGAACCTTCCAGCACCCCGCCGCCACCACCACCACCACAGATGACTTCACATTCGGAGGATACGCCTATGAGCGACCCTGATGAGCCCGCTGTTGCACCTTCAGAACAACGCAACGATACTGCTATGCTGGAAGTGGAGTCAACTCCCGCCGTTGATCCACCGGCTGTTGATGTTGTAGTCCCAGGTGCCGGTCCTAGCGACACCGAGATGGGTGGCACACAAGAGGATATGCTGCTGCCACCACCTCCACCTCCCCCGGTTGATACACCTGCGGAACCTCTACAACCACCCCCACCAGTGCGCAACCCCACTCCTGAACCACCTCCAGATGAGATTTATTTCTTTCTCAAATTCTGGAACGCGGAAAAGCAAGCCCTAGAAGCTCGTGGATCGCATACTACGCTTAAGTCTGCTAGATTGGATGACACGATCGTAGCATTGCTTGAAATTCCAACGGAAGACAAGAAGAAGATGGAGATGTGGGAGGAGGACGAGCTGACTAACACGCGATCACTGAAGCATCGCCGTACCTTTGCGCAAGTGGATCTACACAACGCGAGTATCATCATCGTTTCGCTACCGCTCTCGGCTGAGAAACGTAACGAACTCGCCGCTCGCGCTGCCCTGGCAGATCCTCAATCCTACCTCCAGTTCCGCGCTTTCGCTCGTAACTTCCCACACAAGTTACAAGGCCACTTCACCTACGACTATTTCTCGAGCGAGTACTACAAAGGCGAAGTTGTGAATGGCTATCCTCATGGCCATGGTACTAAAATCTACCACTCTGGCGCTACATATAGCGGCTCCTTCCGCCTAGCCCAACGCTACGGTCATGGTCTATACACCTTCCAGAACGGCGACACTTACGATGGTGACTGGGTCGACAACCAGCAACACGGTACCGGAACTTATGTCGAGGCCGCCAGTGGCAACACATATGTAGGCGGGTGGCAGAACGACAAGAAGTTCGGCGAAGGTGTTACGCACTGGAAGAACGCTCAAGAGTCGGAGAAACTCTGCAGGATCTGCTGGGAAGGAGACGCCGAAGCTGCCTTTTATGACTGCGGTCATGTGGTTGCTTGTCTGCCGTGCGCACGGGAAGTGCAGACTTGCCCCGTCTGCAGGAAGCGGGTCTTGAGCTCTATAAAGTTGTACTATGCGGCCTAGTCTCGTAAGGGCATTACTCTCGTTCAGCGATGCACGC